TTGCCTTTTTTTTGTTTGTGTTTTTTTCGAAAATGTTGGAAATCGAAAAGATGCTGGTGGCGCCATGCCACTCACGAAACTGTGTGTAGATGGTGAGGAGAGGGATCGATCTCCCTCTCCCCTCACTGCCCCATGGGGATTTCCCGTTTTTCTTTGTTTTTTGTTTTGTGGAAAATGCTGGAAATCGAAAAGATGTTGGTGGCGCAATGCCACTCACGAAATTGTGTGTAGATGGTGTGGAGAGGGATCGATCTCCCTCTCCCCTCAATCTCCCATGGGGATTTTCCGTTTGATGCTGATTTTTTTTTTCTGGAAATCGTTGGACATCAGAAAGATGCTTTATCGAAATGTCACTCACGAGACTGTGTGTAAATGGTGTGGAGAGGGAACGATCTCCCTCTCCCCTCAACCTCCCATGGGGATTTGCCGTTTTTTTTTTTTTTTTTTTTTGGAAATTGTTGGAAATAGAAAAGATGTTGGTGGCGTAATGCCACTCACGAAACTGTGTGTAGATGGTGTGGAGAGGGATCGATGTCCCTCTCCCCTCAATTTCCCATGGGGATTTGCCGTTTGTCTGTTTTTTTTTTTGTAAAAAATGTTGGAAATCGAAAAGATGGTGGTGGCGCATTGCCACTCACGAATCAGTGTATACATGGTGTGGAGAGGGATTGATCTCCCTCTCCCCTCGTTGCAGTTTCGCGAAGTCTCACACCCTCGTCTCAGTCCCGATCTCCTCCGGTTTGCACAACTGTTCAGTCACCGAGCCTGGTACGCTGCTGTAGAGGTAAAAATTTCAACGGAGCGGGGAACAACGGTCATCTTGGTGGAAGCTTCGGCGTGCGATCGATTCTCCCGGCCTAACCAGAGCGACGTAACGGTGATCGCCGCCACGACCGCCGCCACGACCCCCGCCACGACTGCCACTTGCCCCCCCCCGCCACCTTTCCTAGCACCCCGCGCTTCCTGGGATGCCGTCAACGCTCCGCAAGCCTCGTTGACAGCGTCAGCCCTCGCCTGTTTCGATTGACTCGCCTGAGATGTTGACGCTTGTCCCCTCTTCCTCTTTCCCCGTGAGGCATTTTTGTCTCTTCCATGCCTCGCCCCCACGCGTGACCGGCGCGGGTGACCGGCGCGGGGAACGCCGGACCCCTCGGCGGTGCGGGAGAGGGACGGGGCCTGACCAACCCTCGTTTCGCCCAAACTGCCAAGGGGGTCCGACCCTAGCGCCGGTCACGAGTGGGGGGTCTGACGTTCTGGGAACGCCGGACCCCCCTCGGCGGTGCGGGAGAGGGAGGGTGTCCGTCCAACGCCGTACGTCTCCGCACCGCCGAGGGGGTCCGGCGTTCTCAGAACGCTGGAACCCCCACGTGTGACCGGCGCTAGGATCCGGCGTTCTTAGAGCGCCGGACCCCCTCTGCGGTGCGGGAGAGGGATGGGGCCCCACCAACCCCCGTTTCGACAAATGGCAAATCCCCATGGGACATTGAGGGGAGAGGGAGATCGATCCCTCTCCACACCATGTATACACTGATTCGTGAGTGCCAATGCGCCCTCGCCATCTTTTCGATTCCCAACATTTTCCGGGAAAAAAAAAACAAAGAAAAACGGCAAATCCCCATGGGACATTGAGGGGAGAGGGAGATCGATCCCTCTCCACGCCATCTACACACAGTTTCGTGAGTGGCATGGCGCCACCTACATCTTTTTTATTTCCAACAATTTCCAAAAAAAAAAACAAAGAGAAACGGCAAATCCCCATGGGAGATTGAGGGGAGAGGGAGATCAATCCCTCTCCACACCATGTACACACTGTTTCGTGAGTGGCAATGCACCACCACCATCTTTTCGATTTCCAACAATTCCGAAAAAAAAAAAACGAAAAAAACGGCAAATCCCCATGGGACATTGAGGGGAGAGGGAGATCGATCCCTCTCCACACTAGCGACACATATGTGATGCGCCAGCTTCCGGACCTGCGCCATCTTCCAATCCCTCCGCCCCCCCTCTCTTTTTCGAATTTTGGTGTTCTTGCAAACAGGCTGACAGGGCCTCTTTTTGTATTTCCATGAATTAATGTACATTGTCCGTAATCAGGGAGGCCCATCCTTCTCAGGACCTCCGTCATTTTTGGATCAGTTTTTAGGAATTTCATCTTTTGTAAATTCGGGAAATGCATGAGAGTTACACGCGCCTTAGCGAGCGCGCTAGGAATTTGGGTCGACATTTAGGAATTCCGGAATAAGCGAAACCTGACGTGTCCTTTCTTGTGCATGAATGTTCTCGACTTCGTGTTGGACAACTCCGGAAAATGTTCATAGGACTCTGAATAGGTATAGGACTTTTCCCTCGCTCGCTCTACGCGCAGATATGGTACTTGTCAATTTTGAATTAACTGTAACTGTTTCGGTGCCCTTTTTGCCTTTGCATCGGCGCCATGCATGCGAACCTCCCCTCCCCGCTTCCCTCGCTATCTTCAACACTTTCTTCTTCGCGCTCACGCACCTTTCTCTGTAACTGTTTTCCATCTCTCCTTTGCCTCGCGCGCCTCTT